CTCTAGCAGGAGGCAGTTGTGGCACTATATTGGTAGCCTCTTATGGATGGGAAAAAAGTGTTTCTCTTTTGGGAACACTTACTCCTGTCAACATGTAAGGGCATGTCTGAAAGTGAATGTCTATAATAGTGCATTTGGGACCTGGGCAGGGGTGCTCGAATAATTTGTATAATGGGGTGCTCAAGCCATTGTACCAAACTGAAAACCCTTTATATGATAGAAACTACTTCAAGCCCATGGATGCAGCATTACCCACAGCACTCTGAGTTCTAGCAGTTACAGATATGGGTTTATGCCATGTCCAAGAGAAGTGTTCCTCATTGGGTATGAAACAAAGGATATCTGAGAGTGGGGAAGTCTTTTAAGTCTTCAATGAAGATACAAACAAATGCCTCAAACTCCTCAGTGCCCGAAAATCCCACCTTCTAATATTTGTCTCAGCTTGGGAGAGCTCAGCTTATTATATACCAGTTACTTGTTTTGTGTAATTCAAAACACGATTGAGTTAACCAAAAGGCAGTTTAAGCAGGAAAACTTTTAATTGTGTTGCTTAACTAAATTGCTGGGAAGAGGATTGTGCTTTTTAGTATATACAACAACATGGAAAGTTGGCAAGCATACATGTTCTTGCAAATGCACCTTACTGGTCTTAGAAGATGACTATAAAAGACACAGGTAGCAAATGGGCCTCAAGTTAAGTTACCTTATCTTTGTGTCTGTGTTAATCATCTAATTCCAACAATATAACATACATTTATTAATACTGTACAGTGCATCTGTCTTTTCAAATTCCTTAGTTTTTTGGCTTTATCTTTGTCTTTGTTTTCATTTGTTTGCTTTTTTATCCTTATAGTTCTGTTTATCTTTTTTTGTTTTTCACTAATGGATACCATTCTTTCTTAGTCTTGAACTGTTTTCTGTATGCATATATCTTTGATTTAAGTCTGTTTTGAAAATTACCAGAAGATGAGATAATCACAGTTAATTCTTAATGCATTTCAGATAAGAATTAAAACAAATAGAAAAACTATGCATGTTGTAGTATTGCAGCAAGCTACATTGAATCTAACAGTTTTCTAAGAAAGTGGTCACACTGGAATTGAGGGTTTCAGAAAAAGGAAATGAACAGGGAAATTGCATAGCACACTTGTTGCTTGTAGTTCACTGAGTGCCTTGTTTTATTTCAGAGTTCTGGTCCCCATTTTAGTAACTATCACCGTTGTTAAAGTTTGAAGCTGTTAAGCTCTCACCTTCTATTCTGAAGCTCCCTTGGTGAAAACCTTAACATTCCTGTACCATTACTTCATCTGTATCAAGTTCTCTGATACCCTAGATAGCAATTTCGCTGGCTATCCTATAAAAGTGAAGGGTATAGAGCTTCCCAATAGCCTGCCTAAATTGAGCAGCATTTAGGTCATGATAGCTTCCGTTTCCATTTAATGCAATAAGTTACTCTTCCAACTGAGAAAGAAATACACATTAAGGAGGGCTGGAAACAGTGCAAAGTAGACTGAATGGTCATAAAATATATTAATGCATCTCCACAGACAGTTTCATCAACAACAGTACTAGTTTGCACAAAAACAAGTTTTTTTTCACAGATCATTTCTGCATATATTAAAAAGATAAAGAAAACTATCAACACAAATAGAGTTCTTTCCTTCAGGGTCAATATCTAAAAATAAAAACTCTCTTGTTTTTAATATTTTGCTTCCAAGATAGTATCATGAAAAAACCCTTTGATTAAAAAAAGATTGTGTTGGAAATAATTATATAGGTGGACTTATATCACTTAGAGTTTAAATGCTATCCCATGTGTTTAGCTTTAGGGGAATTTCAGTTTGTCAAAATTGTCATGAAGCAGATGAAAATACTGTATTCTAAGATGCTGATTATCCACTTGTTAGTAAGCAAATGTACATGTGCACATTTACATATGTAATATTTTGGTACATGAACATCTGCATTTGAAACTGAAAGATTCTAAGGCCTGTAGACCAGATCTTTCTGGAGGATTGCAGCTTTATTTGAAATGCACTTACTGGGGCAGGAAATGAGTCTTTGTCTCATTAAATTGGTTGCATACTCAGCCAAATTGTGAGTTAGATTGTAACTTTACAATCTGGCCTCACTAAAGGGTTGTGCAAAGTCCAGTGCCCCAGGAGCAGACTAGAAAATTGATTGGGAATCAGTTTCCCAATCCTTCTCAGCTCTCCCTTTGTTCTGAAGAGAAGTTGTTTTAGCTCTTTTTGTAAGGCAGCATCTTCCCCTGCTGTGTCCCAGCTAATTAATCTGGATGGCTAATGGGCGGAGAGGGAGAAGGCAGAGGGGAGGCAAGGGTCCTACTCCTCTACCCCTTCCTCACCAATATGCTCACAGAAAGGAATGTCAGGCAAATAGCTCTTGTTCTCTCTCTCCACTGTAGCAGGAAGCACAGTCTCAACAGATATGAGCAGGAGGCACAATGGGGTCTTATTCCTATTCCTTATTCATACAGCAGAGTAAGGGCTTGTGTCAGACTTGCCCACTGACCTTGCTCTGTGAATAGTCCCACTAAGTTCAGTAGCACCACAAAGGGAAAGTATAGTGTCAGAATCCAATGCTGGTGCACATCTACATTGCAATTAAATACCTGAAGCTGGCCTATGCCAACTGACTTTGGCTTTTAGGGCTTAGGCTACAGGGCTGTTTAATTGTGGTATAGACATTCAGGCTCAGACTACAGCTCCAACTCTGGGAGCCTCCTACTTTGCAGGGTCCTAGAGCCTAAGCTCTAGGCCAAGCCTACACATCTATACCACAATTAAACAGCCCCTTGCCCTGCAAGCCTGAGTTAGCTGTCACAGGCCAATCATGGACTTTAGCAGCAATGTAGACATACCCAATGAGGTCTTGATCCAGCAAAGCATTAGTCCTATTAATGGCACCGGGATTACTAATGTACTTACAGTTATACACTTGCGTGCACAAAAGGGAGCATTCCAGAGACTTTCAGCAAAATTATTCAAGATTATATTTAATATATTTCAGTAATAGATGGTGCTACATTGTCTAAAATTGTAGAAAAACAGTGGATGGCAAGGTTACAGCAATGGATTTGCTGGAGGGACCTGGATGGAAGGGGGAGCTGATGAAAGTTCCCACATATGCTGAGGTCCCAACAATAGGTGTGCTGGGAGGACTTGGAGGGAAAAAGATCTGGTGGAACTCCTTCTCCCCCTGCTGGTAATTATGGAATAAACGGGGCTACCTTCACTGTTTATCTGCCATGTAGTCCCAGACATCTAATAACTGACAGTCTGATTAAATCCATGTCAAATGTTTTTGTCTCCTGTAGCTGATCAGTAGTGCTGTATTGTGGTGCTGTACTTACAAATTTGTTTGATGCCATTCTTTCCTAATGTGCTTTAAACCCTTCCCCCCCCCCCCGCTAACACTGCTATTTCTTTCACAGGAAGGTTTGTAGTATAAATAACAAATGACAGGACTCATTGTGGGAATAGGTGCCACCGTCAGTAGAAAACGTAAATTAAATGATAAAAGATGGACCAGTTGCTGTAGCATTCCAGTGTCTGTGAGGCAAACATGCATCGTAACTTGACCTTTTTTAAAAGTCTGTAGAAGCAACTGGGAAATTTCCTTATTGGCACTAGAATGTATCCCCTTCATTGGGCAAAAAAGGATTAGTGTGTAGATCTCATTAGGAATCTGCACATGACTTTTTATTATTTAGATAAAAGGAAGAGAATTCCTCAGAATCAAAAGAAAGTCAAAGAAAATAATATCTAGGAACCCAAAGAGGTAGAAAACACTGCTTTAACCATTTTTTTAAAACCTTGATGTGACAGTGCCTGATGATGTAGGATATATGGCAAAAAATGTTTTATATCATTCATCCAGGGAAATGTTCTTAGTGCAAAAAGCAGGAGAATTCTTAATATTTTAATAAATAGTATTCATAGTAAAATATGAGTCTACTCTGAAACAATTGTACACCAATTTTAGCTTCAGTTGAGGTCAGAATATTTAATTCCGAGAAAATGTTTCTGGTTTCATGAAATGCTAACAAGGAATTTAATTATTTATCTAATTCCTTTGTAGAAATCAGAATTATGGCATTTAAAAATCATAAGGCACCTCTGGTTTATATTTTTTAGTAAGATATTTCGAAGGACATCCTTCATTCTTAATAATATGTTTATGCTTTGGAGCTCTATCTTGTCTTTCCTTTCCACCCTCTTCTCCCTCAAAACCATCTCTAAACAAATTGTAAAAATATGAATGTGCAGCAGATTTGAGCAAACAGCACTGCTGGAACTTTCAGTATAATTTATCTATTTCTTCCATGTATCTTAATAATTAACTATCACTGTAAGGCCCAATTTTATAATACTAATTCAGGCAAAATTGTGAAGACTGTAAGATGTGGCCCATTATCAGTTTTTTGAAAAAACTTAAAAAACAACAAATAGACTAGCAGCACCTTAAAGACTAACAAAACATGTAGGTGGCATCATGAGTTTTCATGGGCACAACCCACTTCTTCAGATCAATGGAGTTATTAAAGGTCCAGTTAAAAAAAAAAAACGGGGGATGGGGTATGGAGTGGAAAAAGAAGGGGAAAAAGGCAGTTTCATAACAAATGCAGTATCAGCCAAACATACGAAAGATCCTTTGAAAAAATGTTATGTTATGTAATAGCAGTATCATGAGAGTATACATTTTTTTTAGCAAAAAGAGTGTTTGGAATATGTCTTGTGAGATGGTTTCAAAGATGAAAATAATCTATGGGCCAGAATATTTGTTTTATCACTGGAAATTTAATTTCATCTAGATCATTTTGATATGCCATTTTAAAAACCAGAATAAAATAGTATTTTTAAATCTGACATGCAAAATAACTGTATTTGGTGGTAAATCATATTCACAAGTTTAGATTGTAGCAAGAAATATGTGAATGAAGCCATCAGAGTTAACAGGTATATATATGGCATTTTTAGACATATGAAAGATCAAAACAAGAAAGTGGCCAACCTGAAGCACAATCAACAAATGGAAAAAAAGAAGAATGCTCAGTTACTGGAAGAAGTTCGTAGGCGAGAAGACAATATGACAGACAACTCTCAGCACTTGCAGGTGAGTTGATTTATTAATTCGTAATTGTATGTTGGTTTATTACACTTCAAAAATTGCCAGAAAAAGTATTTTCCAATTCATGTGTTGTTTCAAAGATGAATAATGGGTCTGATCTTGAAACACAATGATCGCTCATCTCTCATCAGATGAGGCACTGATAACCTCATGAGATTAGGTCCAATATGTACTTGAAAGAGATCTTCCATATAATGCAAAATAAAAAGTCTCTGAATGAGAATTTGCTAAATACATTAAATATTGAACATAGATATGAAATGCTATCTTCTTGATTTGAATTGGGAATTTCAAATCTTTCACTATCGCCGGACATCTCTCTCTCCCTTTCATTTCACTTGCACACCTTGTACCAAATTCTGCACCTGAATATACCTATTTGACCCTTTTTAATTATAGTAATTTGGAGGACTGCTGAGAGGTATGTATTGGTCTTCTCTTCAGAGTAACATCATTTTCCATTTGGTGTAAATGAAAGAAATGTATTCAATTTCCTGACATTTCAAAATGAAAGGAATGTGGATGTATTTTTTGTTTGTATTTTCCCCTGTAAAATAATTATAAAAGGGTAAGCATTATATTATTCTTTCATAAATGGAGATTTTAAAAAAAATGCTATCACAAGGGAAAAACAGAGATTTTATGAACTAATAGCTTCTCATTTTTAAAGACAGATTGTTACTTTGGTTTCAGAAGAGCTTATACAGTTAATGGATAATCAAAATTCAGAGAAATATCCTGCAAGATAAATCAGCTGATACAATGTAATGATAAAATTGTGTACAGAAAAAACTGATATTGTACCAAAGACTAATACACTATTTGGATACCTTCATTACAGTTATTATTTAGCCTTCTCTGACAGTTGACTAAAAAAACCCCTTTGATCAAAAGTATCTAATATTACAAAATTCTGTGAACCACATGGGCATACCTGGAATCAGTATACACAGACACATTTAAATTTCAGTACACCAGGTTCTATTTTGCTTGATCTGATGGTGTAATGGCTCCTTGAATGTTGTCTAATGATCAAATTTGGCCCTCATGTGCTTTGTACTGTATTGTGTTTCCACTGTGTCTGTGTGCAATATGGAGAATTTACCACCATTATTTATGAACTAATGTTGGCTCTGCAGCTACTAGGTATTTTAGAATCAGTTATAGGACATCATATATCACCCAGGGTCTTGGAAATGTTATAAATGACAGTGTTATATACTGTACTGCAGTATACCATGTAAGATATTTTTAAATAAATCTTGATATGTATGTAGGTTTACCATGGACCATGTAATTTATAAGGATAATATTAGGTTTATATAGTACAGAATGACCATTTAGAGCAGGGGTCTGCAACCTATGGCTCTAGAGCCAAATATGGCTCAGTATGGAACCAAATTTGACTCTTTTGTCATTCCCACAATACACACAACTTTTTAAATTAAAATGAAAAATTAATTCAAAATTTTAAAAACATGACATTACTCATGTCAAGATGACTTTTTTGTTTATTTCACCTTTAACTGTTCATTTTAACAACCATCCATTCTCTCCACTTGTTGGGGGTCATGCATATGCACTTTTCATTTAATTGGTCAATAAATCTTTCTATTATCATACATGATAGTGAGCTCTGTAACCCCCAACAGTAAAAATGGCGAAGAGAAAGAGAGATGACATGTACTGAAATTTTCAAAAAGAATGGACAGACTTGTATGCATTTGTATATAGGTCTGTCTCATTTGTAGTAAGAGACTGTACACAAACAAACAAACAAAAATCATAACAAAATATGTGGCGTTTGCTACAAAATATCTGAGGGAGATGCACGAAAAAAAGATTGTGAGAAGCTTCAGAGAAAAATGAACATTGGACAAAATAGCCTGCTGGCATGGTCAGAAAAAGTGGAAGCTTAAACTCCATGGCTGTGTCTAGACTGGCAAGTTTTTCTGCAAAATCATCTGCTTTTGCAGAAAAACTTGCCAGCTGTCTACACTGGCCGCTTGAATTTCCGCAAGAACACTGACGATCTCATGTAAGAGCGTCAGTGTTCTTGCGGAAATACTGTGTTGCTCCCGTTTGGGCAAAAGCCCTCTTGCGCAAATCATTTGCACAAGAGGGCCAGTGTAGAGCACAGTACTGTTTTACGCAAAAAAGCCCCGATGGCTAAAATGGCCATTGGGGCTTTTTTGCACAAAAGCGCGTCTAGATTGGCCACGGATGCTTTTCCGCAAAAAGTGCTTTTGCGGAAAAGCGTCCTGCCAATCTAGACGCGCTTTTCCAAAAATGCTTTTAACGGAAAACTTTTCCGTTAAAAGCATTTCCAGAAAATCATGCCAGTGTAGATGTAGCCCACAAGTTTTGCAGGCTCATACAGCATTATTCGAGAGGGGAAGCCTTTCACTGACAGGGATTATGTTAATAGATGCATGCTAAAAATTGGTCATAAACTATTTGACGAGTTTTACAAGAAGTCCAAAATCTTACAGAAAATTCAAGACATGCCATTATCAGCAAAAACAGTTCATGACAGAGCTGTGAAAATGGCTTATCAAATTGACAAGGAAAAAATGCAAAATTTGAGTATAGCTACTTATTTTTCATTTGCTTTGGACAAGACAACCAACGTATGTGATGTTAATCAGTTGTGTGTTCTGGGATGATATATTTGTGGAAATGCTGTGCACGAAGAAGTGACGGAGATATTACCAATGAAAAATCAAACAAGGGTGAAGACATTCTTACAACTGTGATGAACTTTGTAAATGAGAGAGAAATATAGTTGGCTAATTTTATGTCTGTGTGCACGGGCTGTGCACCCAGCATGGTCAGCAAATACTGAGGATTCATTACTCTTCTCAGAACAGCTAAATTGCCTGCTTTTGAACTTTGCACTGTGCATCAGGAGGCACTTTGTGCGCAATCTTCTAGAACTGAACTCAGAAATTTAATGGGACTTGTCATTAGCATTTTCAATTGGATTCTTGCTTGAGCCCTAAATCACCGTTAATTTCAGTCATTGCTCGAGGAAGTAGATTCTGAATACCCTGATCTACTAATGCACAATGTTCGCTGGTTATATCATGGCAAAGTTTTGTCTCATTTTACCACTTGCATTAACAAGATTAAGTTGTTATTGGGTATGAAGGGTGTCAAACACACCGAGCTTTCAAACTGGTTGCTCAAGTTTTACTATCTCGTCGACATTACTTGCCATTAGAATGAATTGAATCTTAAGCTACAAGGGCAAGGAAATACAGTCCTGACTCTGCAGCAGGCAGTGTTTGGATTTAAGTCAAAATTGACTGTCTTCATCAAAGATATTGAGATGGGCAGACTGGACATTTTGAAAGATTATAAATGTTTCATGATTCATATCAGAGAGAGAATCCAAATAACAGTAGCTGCCAGGTTTGTTTCTGAGCTCCAGATGTCAAGTCTCATTTTGTTGACTTTTGCAAGTACAGTGCTCTGTTTAAGTTTATGGTGTGTCCCATAAAGCCTCCCTTGAAGAACTGGATTTGACAATCAATCCAGGCATCTCAGTTAGCGATTTGGAAATGGAAATAACAGATTTCAAGGAGTCAGATATCTGGGTGGAAAAATTCCTGAAGCTGAATTCTGATTTACAATGCCTTGTTCAACAGTGTGCAGAATTGACAAAACTGCACAAATGGGCTGACATGAAGAAACTGGAGCATGATGATAATCTGATTCTGCAAATTTGGAAAGAATTTCCTGTCACATACAACACCATGCAGAATGTCAGCTTTGCCTTACTTTCAATGTTTGGCTCCACACATCAAAGATAATTTGTGTTCAAGATTGACAGAAGACAGCCTGAATGCATGCATGAAGCTGAATTTGACCAGTTATAATATAAACTTCAAAGAAATGTGCGAAAATATGCAGCAGCAGAAGCCCCATTAAATAAAGTCCTTGAATACAATGTTTAATTTATGCTATTATTAATCATGTCAATTATTAGTAATATTAAGTTGTATATTTTCAATCATGCAAATGGGCATTCTTATACGGTTCTTTTTGATGATTTGTTCTGAAATTTGTTGTAGCTTAGCTCTTTGGTTTGAGAAGGTTGCCAATCCCTGATTTAGAGCACTGAATTAGTTTTTAGAAGTTAATTTATCCCAGTAAAGAGAATCTCATTTGATAGCCCAAGAGAGCTTTATTTTTGCCATTGATAGTTTAGAAGGCTGTTGAGGAAACTTTCACTAGAACATAGTTTCAGAAATCTCTTTCTGTGTCTTTGATGTGGTACCCTCTGAGAACACCATGTGGAGCTTTTGTGTCTCATTTTATCTTCTTGTATATAATTATAATATGCCTATTAAATAGGACCAGAATGATATCTTGGATAAATTTTCAAAGAATAAACTCTGTCTCAGATATAGCCCTCTTTTACAACTCAATTGCTATTAAACATTTGCCTAGTAATTAATTATGAAATATTAAAACAATTTTTAAATATTAATCTTCTTTATATGAATTGATTTTTTTCATTTACATTTCTAATTTAGAAGAGTATATGAGGTAGAAATAAATGTCAGCCATAATGTGGCAATTCCTGTATAATAGAACACAGTTATCTTGAGAATGAATGTACAAATTATGGTTATTTTTATCAAAATGAAAAGATGCAGTGTTTCAGTCCAGGATATGTTTACAACCTTTGAATACTTGATTCTACAAACAGCAATATACCTAATAATAGTATGTGTGTCATATTATAGGTAAAAAAAAGAGGAGGAAGTCTTATACAATTGTTCAGAGAAACTGAATGACCTTTTCCTGAATGGAAAGGTCCTTAACTTTCTGTAACCTTAAAAGGTTTATTCACCTAGGCTGTGTCTACACTGGCATGAATTTCCGGAACAGCTTAAAATGGAATACAATTCCGTTTTCAGTTTTTCCAGAAAAGGAGTGTCTACATTGGCAGGCTGCTTTTCCGGAAAAGCCCTTTT